ACTTTTATGCATGTTTGAATGTAGTAGCATATGTACATATATATGTTTAATTGACAGTCAAAGCTTGAATCAAAATAACGCGAGCATTGTAAATACATAAATATATAAAAGGTATTCGCAATCTAAGTAAACTTCCTGTGGCACAATGTTAACCGAAAGTAAAAAAAGAAGCAAAATTACAGACAAACTGTGATCTTTCTAAAGAAATTAGGTTTTTCTCTATATGCACCAGCAAGTGCATATGTATCGCATCGATTGCAATCAGAGTTGGAGAGTGGATGAGCAGCTTTTAGAGTTTCGTAAATGTTTGTCGAGAGAGGAGTTTACACCTCTTTAATGGTATACTTAGTTCTATCAAAAAAGACTTGGCAGTCATGACTGAAATGTGATGTTGTTTGATTGATGACCTGGCTTGAGGCTGGCTTAGAGAAGACACTTGAAAGTGGGTTATCGCACAAGAAAAAAATTATATGCTAATGGCATAGGCGATCGTAATAGCCAATTTTCGGTTCCATCAGGACTTAGACTTTCCATAAATTTTAAGCTTGGGTTACTAGTAAAAATGTTCCAGATTTCTATGATAGTATTAAGGCAGGTGTATCACATATATCATACACAGTCTGGAATATAAATGTAAATAAAGTGTATTTAAAATTGCTTAATCAGTTAAAAGATTATGCACACTGTAATCTCCTCGCCAAGCTCGAAACTTGGCCACGTTTGAATCACAATGTCGAAAATTACCGAAAACACGCCTTCGTCACGCTTCAACATAACTCCCTCAATATTCAAACCCAGTTCCAAATTTTCAAGGCTCGATTTGGATTCGAATGGGAGATCATGTAAGAATCAATACCCAATTTTTATATGTGTACGTGTATGTATTGTAATAAAAGATTGTAGGTGCGCGCAATTTTACAAATTATTGCCGTTGTGTAGAATAATAATAAAAAGAACCAAATAAGAAATTAGCTGTGTCTGCTGTTGAAGTTTTTTGTAATTTTATTAAAATGTGGAAAAGTATCAGAAATTATAAATGGAAACTAATGAATGCAAAGTACAACTAATTGCAAATATGCCTTCACAACATAAAAAAAATTAATTTCTTGATGTAATGATGAGGCTGAAGATGATGTTTGTCTATCAGCTGTCAACAACTTAAAAAAATGCTGGCTTAGGGGGAAGATGGAAGGTTTTGCTGTTAGACTTAATTGATTTTAAGTTATTAATGTAGTGTAGGCAAACGTACCGTTATATATCAATATATATATGTACTTCCTACATACTTTCTTATATATTTGTGTATGACAAATCACTGCTGATTTGAAAGAAATTAATACTTAACGTTTATAAACTTATATACAACTGTACATACAATATATCTAATAAAAAATGTACAATTTCTCATACTTTCGTAAGTGCGTACATTTGTAAATTTGTTGCATATTCATGTTATTAGTAATGACGGTAAGTGAAGTTAAGTACACTCCAACTCGTCATTCGAAAACACTTTCCGCTATTCAATGTCATACATAAAACTTAATTTGGAAGTAGAAAAATATAAATATTTGCTATTTCTTATCGTAAAAAGGATATATAATTAAAAAAAAAAATTTTAATTAAAAATAAATTGAATTAGAAGTGCCTATATAGGAGCGACACCAATGCGTGTGACGTGGGAGAGATAAAGAAGTTTAAAGAGGGAAACGAAATGAGTTTGCTGACAAAAAATTAAAGACCCCTTCTTAGATTTTAATGCAATCTTAAATAGCAACAAAAAGAGTTATGGCTATGCCCGTATATGGTACCCTCACAAAATTTATACAGTTGAGTTGACCGACGTTGAACATCACCAACCAAGAAAGACCTTTCCGGTCCATTCGACACCACACAAGGTTTCAGGCAAGATGACTTTTTTTGGCGTGACCTCTTTAACTTAATTCGGTTGAAAAAAATTCCAGCTGCAGATCATATTAACATCATCAACCTCAATAACTGCCCCACCAGTTCTGCTTTCTCATGACTTGACAAGGAAGCTAGACGAATTAGTATGATGGTGAAAGAAGACATGACGCATATGCATCTTTGAACTTAGTAGGCAATAGAAAAGTAAAGTTCTCTCTCCATTAATAAAGATCAAGCACTTTCCGTCCTGTCAGCGAAGTGGATCTGCTTACCCGTGAACGAATTATTATGGTATTTCAAAAACAGAGACATTATTCTACGCTCTAACAAGCATGTAGATGATGTTCGGATAGACGTATATGTATATGTATCATGACGGGAATAACCGGTACGAAATAAGTCGTAACCTTGTGATAGAAAAAGACGTTTCAGAAATCACTGAACACGATAGTAAATGATCTTTTCTTCTTCAAAGTTTGGTATTTTTCGGAGAATATCTCAATATTCAGCACCCTTTCAATTTTTATTTTTTTCTATTAGCTCATCATAACCCTGAAACCGCTCCTCTCTTACAAACTATTCTGATATTACAGTTAATGATTTCTTCTATTGCAATTAAGAAGTAAAAAGAGAGAAAGTAATGTGGAAGGATAAAAACAAGAGAGGTCTGCAACATATTAGAAATGCCCATGCAACGAGAATAAATATCTGAAGAAAGAGACATACCCATATATAATATATTTATACTCTCTGTTTCTAAAGTTATAAAAGCCAGGCGAGAGAACAATTAACTTCATTAGAATAAAATATTTTATCTTTTATTAGATATAAATCAAGAATGGGGAGTATTGTTTTTATCATTCCTCTCAAATGAGAATTAATATATTGTATATATGTACGTAGTGAATATAATTGTGAGCGAAAAAAAATGAATCTGAAAATGCGTGTCCTCGTAGATGTACTATATTATAAGTATGTTTGTATTATTAGTAAGGCAGTATGTTCGTTTTCACCTTACGACGTTAATATTACGACTTGTATAAATATATACTCATAGGTATTTCTATATATGTACACACACAGACACATATATATATATATATGTTTGGCGCTTTGCAATCGGTGAAGCGATTTTCGGCCGAACTCCTGCTCCTATTTGTAGTTTCGCGTCTTGATGCCTTTCCAACAAATGGCGGGACCAACAGCTTATACTTTTGGATGTTGGATTTGAACCCGGGCCTTCCGAATGGTAGTACGCAATGTTAAGCACTCGGCTACTGCGGCCTCCATATGCCATATGCACAAAAATAGAAATATACAACAACTAAGAAATAACGCGTTTGATTAAAACTTTCAATGTTTTACCGTCGATTAATGAAGGTATTCAAAGATCTATAGGTGACTAATCATACTATTTGTTTTTATCATAAAAAAAGGCCGCAAAGAAACTTGTTTTATTTTAAATACTGTATTACAACTTACTTGTAAAGCTTATTACTAAAAATACAATATGTATTGTACATGTGTATGTGTTCATGAAATATGTGCAACCTGAAGTGCTGAGAACTTTCGAAGAAAGAAGAGATTCAAATTTATGGTATTTCATTCAAGAATAAAATATTAATACCCATATCTATATACTATGTGATATAATCCTCCGACTTCGATGATTTTCAGTGACAATGCTTAGTTTTAGATACGAAATAACATAACGAAATAATATATATATATAAATTACACACTCTTAGATGCTTTTTTAGGGAGTTTTGACAAAAGCCTCATGTTATACTCCTCCAGCACTAAGGTGTGACTCGTCACAAATATGTGTGCAGAAAACGATGATCTCTTACGAACTTGGATGATTTTTGACTTATAATTCGAAATCTTAAATATGGAAAATCAGTCAGCCCCGGCTTATGATCGTTTGAAAGCATCAATGCATCTGGGCACCAAGTTTGGAGGAAAAATATTTCAAAGCCTGAAGGGCTAGTTTGCGTACAAACAAACAGACAGATGGGCGTATACCGGTATAAATTATGATGGGTCTATCTCTTCTCGTTGTGGTACCAACAGAGATTAAAGGAAAGATCTATCAAAAAAGACGGGCATTCTAATTTTCCCACCATTCACATTCAGCATATCTCTCTTTTTACCTTTAAGACCAGCTGTTTCTTCTCCCCATCAGCCGTACAGAGACGGCTTAGTATAAATTGTAGGCACCTCTATTTTTAGATAGCTGTTTTATACGCAAAACCACAAATTGTAGGAGGAGCTCGGCCGACGGATTATGAGGTAAATGTTTGCTGAATTAGAACTAAAAGTAGTTTTTTATTTGCTCTCATTCACCTAATGCTCACCGAAAACCACAAAAATAATCTGCCCCAAATATAATATTGTTAAATATGATTGAGTACTTGCGAGATAGACATTTGCTTAATGGCATCTATAAGCTATAAGCCATAAGCTAAGTGAAATTAAACATCAGTTTCGAATTGTTAATTAATATTCTGCAGACAATCAACAAAGGGCTCTGGACGCTCGAAAATACAAGGTTGAGTAGGTTTTTGTTCAAAAAAACGTGTTTTTAACGAAACCCCACTGCAATTCCAAACGGATTGATACATTTTAATGAAATTCATACAACTTTTCTAAAAATCTTTGCTAAGTCAAAAAACTCCAGAAATCATTTTTTCTTTTAAAGAACTACATAGTGTATAGTTCTTTAATAGAAAAAATTGATTTCAGATGTGTCTCCAAGCATTTATTTTGGTCACCGTAAGGCATTTTCATTTGGAATTTTTTATTTTTTATATCATTTTTACGAAGTAAAGTCGAACTTTTATTCAATGTTAGTATATTACTACTTTTATAAAATAAAATGCTTTAAAGGCAACAAATTAATGTAAATTTTTTTTTTTCAAACCTCTGACACGTGTCCTGGCCCTTATGAATATATACGTGTCCTGGCCCTTATGAATATATACATAACTCTAAGGTAACTTTCGATCACCACAATATTCAACGGATTTATAAATAATATTTCACTTAATTATTCTTAGTCTTAAATATGTACGAATGCAGGTTTATTGACTTACATATCACGAGCCTTTAACACTTCGGTAATCTTAAACAATTTATCCTTCGTCAAAATAAAATATATTTTATAATGACTCTTTTTTCACTACAATTTTTTTAACGACTTTGGCGCTTTTTGAACTTAGTCACCGTCGCTGAGAAACTTGATTTTAAGGAAAGAACACCTGTCGGAATGTAAACTTCTTCGCACTGCCCGACTGCACTGGTCTAAACGAAATGAATAAATGTACTGTGTCAGGCTTTCCTTTTATATATCGGCTGCGCGTAAATTGTGCTGTCGGCAACGAGGCAACAGCAACAAAAACGATAACAATGAAAGTCCGAAGAAGAGCTGCTGAGTGAGTAAGCGTATAAGCAACAAGCAAGCAACAGTTACGAAAACGGTAATGTACAATGGCAAACACATTTGCCATTGGCGCAGTATCCAAAGCATCAAGTTGCGTAGCAGACGAATTATGGTGGGCTAGTAAAAGAAGGTTTAGTAGTGGTAGTCTCTAGAACGCCTTTTCGGCAGGATACTCACTCCTAACACTTAAGTGAATATATCTTAATATATATGTGCATGTAAATGTACGTACATACATACATAGATACAACTTTCAGGTAAGTGAGAAACAGCAGAATTCTAACACATGAATGAACAATCGCGCTTAAAAATCTAGCCGAACTAGCTGATTGTAGATACATACATACATACAAACATATATGCATCTGTAAATACAAACTACCGTTTTTTATTCTAATTCCCAAGTTCAAAATAATCCCGCATTTCAGAAATTCATAAATTTAAATATCTTTTGTATTGGACAAATTCCTGGATTGCTCCGAGTTCATGATCAATTTTCGTATGTAATTGGATTATTGAACCATTCAGTCATAATCATATTACATCTGTTAAATGTTAGAATATCTCAATATTCAGTTACACGCCATATTATGTGGCTTATCACGCTTTTTCGAGATATTCTCGAGAAACGGAGAAGGATTGATACTACTTCTGTCCACTGAGCTGACCCGCATTTAGCTAGGCGAAAAGCCAGCTCCTTCCTTTTAGAATTCTCTCGGCGGTTAGGACTCCTTATATGCATATATGGAAATGTCACATCTTCGATTCCTTTAATAGCTTTGAAAAATAAATAACAAATTTAAGCGCTTTTCACTTGTGTGCACAGTTATATCTACAAAAGAGTTCAATTGATAAGCTTCTGTATTTCCAAACACGTCATTCCATCTGTGTGTTCATGTAAAAAACTCAAGCCTTTATCTAATCATTTCCAATTATTCATAACCGAATTTTTATCCAATTTAACGAATTGCAATGCGTAAGGTGTGTAGTGTAGTGCTAATTTAGAAAGTACTTGATTTACATTTGTCACCTGTAAAAATGTGTTATCACCAATACATGCATACACGTAAGTACGCGCATTCCAATTCAAGTGGCCATTAATTAAAGACATTAAAAATGAATTTACCATAAGGAATTAGAAATTCAAATGTGCGAGCACACAAATTTCACCTTGAGTAATGCTTTGGAGGGCACTTTTTCATCATCGTTCATGGGTAGTTTTCCCGGTAATTCGAATGACGGATGTGAAGTGAAGTACCTGAGCCACTAACAATATTTTAGACGGTGAACAATGATATGGGGCTGAAATGGGGTGTAGTTGACTACTTCTTGGTTTGCTGTTATAGTTGCGAGGCTTTACTCGATTCCTATTTTTGCTTTCACGTCGTACACCCTGGAATCGTGAGCCACCATTGTGCAAGCTGTGGTAGGTAACCAACCGTGCGAAGCATTGGCACACGGCTAATGAGAGAGGAAGAAGCTTCAGCGGAGATACTCCGATCCATTCGGTTTAAGGTTCCACTGAAGTCATTGTGGCGTCTGTCCACCAGAGGTGCGGTTGCGAGCGGGCGTCGGTCTTAAAGCAAGCGACTCGTTATTTAAATATGTAGGAACCCGCAACGCTTAATGATCATGCACCCGGAATGTACGGTCCCTGGGTTGGGAAGATTACGCAGCCCAGCTGGTTTATGTCCTCTCTAAATTAAAGGCTGACATCACCGCCGTCCAAGAAGTGCGATGGACGGGACAAAAACGAAAGGGAGTAGATTTTGTGTGGGAGAGAGATTGCGTCATAGAGTACTGGCATTCACCCCGGCGGATGAACGTCTCGCCGCAATCATGTCGTTGACTTGCACCACCGCCCCGACAGAAAGCAGTACTATTTGGCCCAAGATGCCTTTTATGAGCGCCTGGAGCATACTTCTGAACGCTGCTTCCTACACGATGTGAAAATCGTGCTTAGCGATTTTAATGTCAGGGTGGGTAAAGAAGGTATCTTTGGTACGACTGTTGGAACATTCAGACTTCACAACGAAAGCACCCATAATGGGTTAGGGCTGATCGACTTCGCCGGACCCCAATATAGGGTTGCCTGTAGTACTAGATTCCAGTACGAAAAACACAAAATCAGATCGATCATGTTGTGATAGACGGAAGAATGTCTCCAGTGTTCTCAACGTGCGTACACTCCGAGGAGCCAGCATCGACTCGGACCACTGTCTTGTTCGAGCGATGATACACATGTGCCTCTGTGTATCGAAGAACGCCCGTCAACAAACACAAGGAAAGTTCGACGTCGAAAAACTGCCATCACAACAGATAACGGAACGGTTTTCAACTCCACTAGCACCTCTGCTCTGCTCTCTGAGAACACTCATCATACGATATACGGGAAATGTGGAACGGCATTTCAAGCTGCCTAAGTACCGCTGCAAACGAAACTATTCGATTTCGTAATGGTCGGCAAAACCAAATGGTACGATGAGAACTGCCGTGTCGCGGTGGAGAGAAAAGAGACTGCCTACCTCGCAACCTTGCGATGTCCACAACACGTGCGATAAAAAAGAGGCCGAGAGGCGTGAATATGAAAAGCTTGAGAAGCTGGCCGACAAGGATATTGTTCGAATATTATAAGAGAAGATACGACGACTTGCAGAACGTTACAAGAACGGAGCAGATTACGTAAGGACACAAAGATGTTAATATCAGTGAAAATGGAGTACCCAGAGATGGTGAACCCGTAACCCCAATCGATAACGATGGAAAAGACGTTCCATTACCTGATCATGAAGAAGTTTGTATGGAGATGGCCCCACCGAGAGAACTCTTCAAGCATTGCGGTGAAGAGCTAACAAGGTGTCTTCTGGTACTTTGCAGAATAAGGTCGAACGAAAGCATGCCCGACGATTGAAAGTTAAGTGTACTCTGCCCAATCCATAAAAAAGGGGGCTCCACAGTATGCGCCAATTACCGTGGGATAAGCCTTCTTAATATCGCCTTGGTCTTGTCGAGCGTATTGTGAGAAAGGGCAAAGTTCACCGTCAACAAACTGATTGGACCTTATCAGCGTGACTTCAGACCTGGTAAGTCAACCATTGACTAGATATTCACCATGTGAGAAATCTTGGAAAAGACCCGTGAAAAGAGTATCGACACACACTACCTCTTCGTCTAGTTTAAAGCCGCCTTCGACAGCACGAAAAGGAGCTGCCTTCACGCCGCTATGTATGAATTTGGTATCCCCTCAAACCTTATTCGGCTGTGTAAGCTGACGCTAGACAACACCAGAAGCGCAGTCAGAATTGGGAAGGACCTCTCCGAGCCGTTCAATACCAAAGGAGGTTTCAGACAGGGTGACTCTTCGTCGTGTGATTTTTTCAACAAACGCGCCGTTAGTTCTGCTTTCTCCAGGCTTAATAAAAAAGAGAAGTGAGTGAGTCTGGTAGGGAACGAAGACAAGACGAAATATTTCCTGTCATCAAACAAACTGTCATCGCATTCGCGACTTGGCGCCCACGTAGCTGTTGACAGTCATAATTTTGAGGCCGTAAATAATTTCGTCTATCTAGGAACCAACATTAACACCAATAATAACGTCAGCCTGGAGACTCAACTCAGAATCACTCTTGCCAACAGGTGCTACTTTGGACTGAGTAGGCAATTGAAAAGCAGAGTCCTCTCCCGACGAACGAAAACCAAACTCTGCTAGTCCCTCATCGTTCCCGTCCCGTCATATGGTGCGGAAGCATGGCCATGACAACATCTGATGAGTCGGCGTTAAGAGTACTCCAGCTCTGAGGAAGAGAAACACCTCCACTGGAAATACCAGGTAGAGAGGGACCTAGCTCTACTGGGTATCCCCAATTGGCGCCTAGCAGCGAGAAAAAGGAATGAATGTTCGGCTAGAATCGGGTAAGCGGTGTCTACGCTCGTAAAGTAAGTAAGTAAGAACAAAGATATTCGACACAATTTGGATCAACTTTCCCGGAATTATGAGAGAGAAATTTTGATATTTTATGGATGTATGCATGACAGTGCGTTGAATTTTTCTCAAGTCATGGAAAACAATTTTAAGGAAAATCAACATTTTTAAAGCTGTTACTGTTATATTTATCACTTGCGGTACAGTTGTACTTGATTTGGATGTGTATAAGTAATGGGTACAAGATGTAGCGGAAGCATATGGCGATATGTAATTGCTAAAGCGATTTTCGACCATATTCCTCCTCCAATTTGTGGCGCCTTAAAGTTTCAGTATTTTCTAAGCCGCCCCCGAATGAATGTCGGTAGGACCAGGACTCGAACCCTGGCCGTTTGAATGATATAATGCGCTACTAGTCACTCGACAATTGCGATGGCAATAATAAAATACAATGTAATAATATACATTCTATATATGTATATATTATATATTGTATGTATGGGCATATCCATTCGTGTTTGCACATGAATCAGTGATTTGATGCTGTTCCTTTTCCTACAAAGTATACCCAAAACGGAGACGATCCCAAAAATTTGAACCGGATATGATCAAATCCGGACGATATTTATTGGGTTTATGTATTTTAATAAAGTATAATTTAATAGAATCTGCCCAACTTTTGCCTGATTCCTTTCCTTTCGTCAAGTTACAGTCACCTAATGCCGATTGAATTTTGGATAATCGCTGTTTTCGAACAGCTAGAACTTTTTTCGGTAAAATTTGATTTGCTTTCAAAACTCAGAAAAGTGCTTTATTATCTTTAAAAAGTTGTGAAAGTTTCCAATAAGAAGTCGAGCTCGTATTCAGGTTAATATTTTTTTTAATATTTCAAAAATTGCGTTGAACATAATAAAGTAATCACATCACAAAACCTTTGTTATAATATAGTATTATAGTTTAACTATAATAATTATAGATAAATTAGACATAATTACAAGAAGTCATTTGTATAGTACGTTGCAATGTTATGTAAAAGTACAAAAAATATAAGTAAATTAAAAGCTATTTTTAGAGTTTTTGTGGAAAGTTTTATTTATAAATGCTATTTTTGGAAACAAGCTAATATTATACAAATGTTATTAAATTAAAAAAATATTTAAAAATTTTTCAACTGGTTACATTTTTAGAAATTTTGGCTAAGCAATAGATAAACTCTAAAATATATACAATATTTCTCTTAGATAGAACGTCAGAATTACAAAGACTGGCAATGTCTATAGTCTTCACTACAAATTCGAAAGAGATTAATGTTCTCTTAAATCGATAACTTGTGCTTGCTGTGCATAAGAAGTTTCAGTTCAACCTACTGATTTAACGCGTTCAACCCATTTTATAGCGGCGACCCACTCCTCCAACTAATTACAGCTAATTGTCCACACAATGCAAGTTATATTCCCGTTCTAGTATACAGCGCTGTTATCATTTAGAATATGTTGAGATTTTCACAATATTGAAAGCAAATATCAAAGTTTGTCGAGCAATTAAAAAGGAATAAAAACTTTTCTTTTCTTGATGTGAAATTAGAAAAACACTTCTACTTACAACACATCGCACACACATTTTATAAGCTTGTATGTATGTAAGGATATACTCGTATATACAATGGGATGTATGATTATATTGTTCACTGATATAGACGGTTAGTCAAGGGTAGAGCCAGTCTTCAAGTTTAGAGGTATAGGCGATCAAGATTCTTCTTTGTTTAAACGCTAATTTAATGACCGTGCAATTTTCGCTTGCTTTAATTATTTCTTACAAAGTACTCGAGAGTAAAATAAAACAGATAGTCCGCCTAACTGCAATCTCTTTCAATTTGTATGCACATATTCAGAAGAAAAATATAAGCAACCTTGCATTACTCGTGTCCTGCAAACATTTGTGGACGATATGGTCCATTTGGATAATCGAATAAGTACTCCTCTGTAGGCAACTATTGGATCAGCTTGCGTCTCGCATCGCCCAGTTATTAACCGATGATTGCTAGTGTTTTAACGATCGCAATTACTAAACAAATATGCATGAGCGCTAAATGATTTTTACTCGTATTCGGAAAATAAACTGAATTTGTGTAAGTTTCGTTTCGTTGATGAGCTTAAAGGCTTAAATAAGTTTGGGCTAATAAATATGTAGAAAGAGTATTCAAAAAATGGCAAAAACTTGTATATACATTAATTTAATATTTATTATAATAAGACGCATTTGCAGTCGAAAAAGAAAGAGGCCGAGATGCGTGAGTATGAAGAGCTTGCGAGGCTGGCCGACAAGGATAATGCTCGAAAATTCTATGAGAAGATGCGACGACCTACTACAAATAGGTTATCTAGCTACCGATGCCCAAAGTGTACTGAATTTAAGGAGGAAACCCTTCTCCAACCTGCTAAATAGTAGTGAAAACGGGAATCTGGAGATGGTAAGCCCGAAATCCCAATCGATGACGATGGAAAAGACGTTCCATTACCTGGCCATGAAGAAGATCGAATAGCAATCGCCCGCTTAAAAACCAACAAAGCGGCGGGAGCTGAAGGCCTGCCGGCAGAATAATTCAAACATGGCGGGGAAGAGCTGCTAAGGTGCATTCATCAGCTACTTTGCAGAATATGGTCGGACGAAAGCATGCCCAACGATTGGAATTTAAGTGTGCTCTGCCCAATCCATAAAAATGGGGACCCCACAGTCTGTCCCGATTACCGTGGGATAAGCCTCCCCAATATTGGTCCTGTCGAGCGTATTGTGTGAAAGACTGAAGCCCACCATCGACAAACTGATTGGACCTTATCAGTGTGGCTTGAGACCTGGTAAGTCAACCATTGAACAGATATTCACCATGCGACAAATCTTGGAAAAGACCCGTGAAAAAAGTATCGACACCCACCACGAATAGGAGCTGCTTTTACGACGCTATGTCTGAATTTGATATCCGCGCAAAACATATATGGCTGTATAAGCTGACCTTGAGCAACACTAAAAGCTCCGTCCGTTAGTGAACGAGGACAAGGCGAAATATCTCGTGTGCTCAAACAAACAGTTATCGTATTCGTGACTTTGCTCCCACGTTACTGTTGACGGTCATAACTTTGAAGTCGTAGATAATTTCTGCTATCTGGGAACTAGCATTAACACCAATAACAACGTCAGCCTGGAAATGCAGTCACTGTTGCCAGTATGTTCGTCTTCCGGCGAACGAAAACCAAACTCTACAAGTCCTTCCCGTCCTGCTATATGGTGCGAAGGCATGGACGATGACAACATCTGATGAGACGGCGTTAGGAGTTTTCGAGAGAAAGGTTTTGTGTAAAATTTATGGTCCTCAGCGAATACTGCAACCGATGGAAGGATGAGCTGTACGAGTTATACGGCGACATTGATATAGTTCTGCGATTCAAGAAATGGCGGCTACGCTGGATAAGTCACGTGATCCGGACTAAAAGTTCTTGATTCAGTACCTGCCGGTGGAAGCAGAGGAAGAGGAAGACCTCCACTGGAAAGAAGAGGTAGAGAAGGACTTGGTTGTGCCTGGTATTTCCAATTGGCGCCAAACAGCAAAAATAAGTAGTTAATGGCGCAATGTTGTTAAATCAGCTAAAATCGCGTAACCGGTGAAAAGTAAAGTAATTATGTATAATACGATTATGTAAATACCTACGTAGGACGAGTACTACTTTAATATGTACATTTCTTAATTTAGACACAAATAATCATTTATATGTATTTATGTTTCACACGCTAATAGACGAAGAGGTTCTATGCAAGAGTAGCCGCTGTTGAGTAACTCGGTGTTTAGATGCTTTAGAGAAATTTCAGTACAAGCTGATACGGACATTTGTCTAGCTTAGACGTTTTCGAAATTGGGAACGAGGCATAAGTGTCGGAAGTAGTTAGTCCCTATATGATAAGAAAGTCGGTTAGACGTAGCTATAGTCAGAATTCAACAAAACTTTCATTACAATTACAGTAACACTGCCATAGACTCCATTGCGATAACGTTTCCCCATTCTTTTCCCCCATTCGCAATTTGCTATTCTGAGATATCATAGACTCGAGAGAAAAAGAGGAAGAGAGAAACATTTTCGAAATAAACAGTTTGAATTGGAATGTGTAATTTGAAAACAGCACAGCAAACACGCACAAACTATTCTAGTTGTTGTAACCATCAGAATTTTCGACAAAGTGGTGTTTGAGGTACGGTCAGTCCTTCGCCGGATCAAAATTCGGAAAATTCGGGAACTATTTGATTGAAGCCAAATGACGATTAGAAAAAACTACTGGTGTGTTATTGTTAATGTAAGGGAGTAAGCAGAATTACGGTTAGCTCACGAAATATTTATTTAAAAGGATTTGAGAAAACGCTTCGGAAGTTTTTTACATTCCTAACGTGTTGACCTAACGAAGGTCTTATTCGACACTCTTGCCTTATTCGACAAATAGAAACAGGCCAAAGTGGTTCATTACTGATACTTGGGAAACAGACTAATCTATTGGAACCATTTTGTTTCATGTCCCTCCGAGTTGAAGCATAATTCGAGTCCAGGCTGTGATAACCACTGCACTGCACTGGGTTCTATGAATACTCGAACTTTCTTACAACACTGAGCGTTTCAAAATCCTCCGAAAGCTTTGTCATGATAGAAATTCTTAAGTGGTCGATATTAAGAAATAAAATGCTTTAATTGTGAAATATTAAGCAATATGCAAACGGCTAATTTGGAAACCATATTGTTCAGCTTAATGGCTTGCACAGTTTTTCTTATGAGTATGAAAAAACGTGACATGATAGCAGTTCCCACAAGTAGGTGTCCCTACTGCAGTGGAAAAATGAAAACAGTCTGACAACTTAAGCAATTGATTGGTTCTTTTTGTCAAATATTCTGAAAAGATATTGGAAGGGCGAAATTTTCTCAGGTAATTAATCCTAACATATTAACTGCATCCCATAATATTAAAAACAAAACGTTTTTGAATGAACAAGATAGAATAGTCGTTTTCAGTTATATTGTGTTATGAACTTGGTGAATTGCTTCTATACAAGTCTATTTTAAATATCATGTACTGTAACGTTTGTTGTTAGTTGTGTAGTGTATTTATAGATTTTCAGTTATAATAGTTTTTGAAGGAAATATTTTATAATAATTAATTTTTCTACAGTCTACAACATAGATAAACCCAGTTATCATCGTTGCAATGACCGCTGAACTCACAGAAATCAAAACAAATACTGCCGCTGATGCTGGTGAAGCAAAGGCCGCTGAGGTACGCATCGAAGATGATGCCAGCGACTGTGGGTCCGAGGACAGCATTCCTGAGCTTGAAGATGCAGCCGGTGGCACAACACAATTGGGTGGCGGTGCAACTGGCTTGCCAGTTGATTTGGTCTCAAAGGCTAAGCAATCGCGAGGTGAGAAAAAGGCTCGTAAAATAATGCTCAAGTTGGGATTAAAGCAAATTCAAGGCGTGAATCGCGTAACAATTCGCAAATCGAAAAATATTCTATTCGTGATCAACAATCCTGATGTATACAAAAACCCCCACAGTGATACGTATATCGTGTTCGGGGAGGCAAAGATTGAAGATTTATCACAACAAGCTCAAGTCGCAGCTGCTGAGAAATTTAAGGCACCAGAAGCAGCAAGCATTGCAGAGACACTGGGTACAACCACGTCAGTGGCACCGATTGCTGAAGAGGACGAAGAAGAAATAGATGAGACTGGCGTGGATGAGAAAGATATTGAACTTGTGATTACACAAGCTAACACTACTCGAGCAAAGGCCATTCGAGCGCTTAAAAAACATAATAACGATATCGTCAATGCTATCATGGAACTAACTATGATTTAAACACGGCAATATGTTAAAAAGCCAACGTTGAAATCAATCGTAGAGAAGAGTACCCGCCTTACGATATATTTGAAATAAACTATAATACTACAGTCAAAACATGTAGCGTAGAAGAAACTACCAAATCAAGACAAAGTTGGATACAAATTATGTTCTATAATTTCTCTTTCTAAATTTGTCCGTTTGAATGATATACATTGAATTGCATTGCTTTAAAAACAACTGTTAAAGTAAATCGAATGCCAAATATTTTTGAAAAATAAAAGCTGAAACATCGTCTTGATTTGTATGTTGGAAATTTTTTTTATTTATTTAATACATCAAAGCGATGAGTATCAGTCTACATTCGTGAAATATCTTTATACACTTTGGTTATCAATTAAAACAATTTTATTTAGTACTAATTTAATACTCTCGAATAATAGTAACTATTTTGAATTCTCTTAATTCCTGCCTCCCCTATTACTGCACTATCATTTTCTTATCTTTTGAATCTTATTCGATTCAATTCGATTTTAATATTTGAACAAAAACAAAATTTTTATGTTTTGAGGCGTAAAGCAAATGAATTAATTTGCAGGAGCAGCGTAAACAAATTTTATTTCGAAATAAATACTTATGGGGTCCACTTTTTAATTAGTACATGTTTTAGTGGTAAAAATATTAGTTTTCCAAAAGTTTGCAATATGCAAATCAGTTAAAAAAATTTGTTCAGTTTCGATTTCGAGCATAATTATTAAAAATTATAAATTTTATCGCCTCCATATTTGATTGGTTCTCGGTTACGGTGGTGTTATGGAAGTTTAAAATTTTTGTATAAATGCAAACAGTAATTTTCACTGTTTAACTGGCGTCATGGAAAATATACGAAAAAAATCAGATTTAAAAGGCTGAAAACTTAAGTTAGGCGAATATGGTTAATGGAATATGGATGTCATATATGAATCTTTTCACATAGCCTATGATCGTTAACTTCATTCATTTTGAGACTATATAAATACATAAATACTTGGATAAGCAAATTTAAACTTATACGCTAAACTTGATTTGCTATGTATATGTTTTCCGGTTTCACCCGACTTTATTCGCTTTCCAGTTTCAGCATCCGCGCTTGACTGCGTGATTGTAAGTAAATTTCGGCAGGTGGCTGCATCCATGGCTCGCCGTCTGATTGCATAGGGCAAGTAGCTTTTACGACAATCTGAAGAGATGGGAGAAAAATTTGTTGGACATACGTATGTACATTTTCAAAAGTAATAACCAAGTTGAATTCACTAAATGTTGCTATAGAGTTTCGTTCGCCTTTACGACTTTTTCGATTTTCTTACTGTTACAATTTCCAAAATGTTCACCCATATTCCTGAATTCATTGTAATTTCGATTCTCGTAGATGTTAAGAAAGTGTGATTATAGAATCCGACTGCGCTACGACAGAAATTCGATACTCTATCAGCAGCCTTAAAATTTAGAATGGTAGCTGAGTCGGATTCAGGAATGAATTCAGGAATATGGGTGGTTTTATTTTAAATATATATAAATCTGTAAAAATTGTGTGCTTTCTAGTCGCATATTAAAACAAATATTACTTTTATTGTTTTGCTTTGGATTATTTTGTAGCCAATTCGTCTTGTGTACCAATGCACAGAAGATTCGAAAGTTTGTATGAGTGCTACTTTTAAGATTTTAAGAATATAGTAAATTAAAAAAAGGAGATTTCGGCAAGTTAATACCATCTCGGAAATATTCAATGATGTTCTAGGCTCTAAATCGATCTAATGTGGATATTCTTACTCGGATTTGTTTTGCTTGTCCAATGCGTACTGGCTTGCTGATCCCACACTGCAATTGAGCCATGTGAAATGAAGACACCAAACCAAAAACCTCCATCATACCATCAGAAATGGAATTTTCTACTTTATTATTTTCGTCTGCATTACTGAGTTCTGAAAGATTATAATCAAATATTTTAAGATATCAGCTCGTATGTATGTATAAATTTATTTCTTTCTTCTACAAAGCATACCACACAATTTGCATCCAGCTCCCCATGAATCTATATTCAGAAAAATAATCGATTGCAACTCTGGCAACTGTACGAGGTGGCCATCCAAATATAGGTCGAGTTTCTGTTCAATGTGCTCACAATCGCGTTGAACAATTTGTTGTGTGCCGAAGCCGAAATATATCAACTAAATATATTTATAAAAATTATATCTATTCGAAAATTTGTGTATGTACGTATGTATGTATATGCATAGATTTTTACCTTATTAAAAATTCGACTGCTCAACAGGTAAAATCGTGACTCCCGAGTTTTATGGAAATTATATGTTACCAAAGCATCCACTCCAATACTATAGTAATTGTATATATGTACCGTTTTGATAGGATGTCGCTGGATTGGCAAACGATAAAACAGTTTTTCTATTTGTAAATCGAAACGGTCCAGGTTTACAGAGCGCGCAGACTTGATCTAAAAAATAAAAAGGGCTTACAAACTTAAAAAAAAAAAAACAATAACGAAGTATTCAAATTCTTACATTTCTAAGTATTGAAATAGGATCTAAAGTTTGAGGAGGTTTTGACCCCCAACCCATCACACGAGAAAGATCGTTTCCAGTTCCCAATGGCATAATGGCCACAGAGGGTATAGGCTACAAAGATAGAAATATTAAATATTATATGTATCATGAAGCACATACATATGTATATATATATTTGTAGTTAAATACCTTTATGTTTAGAGCATAGATTGTATTTAGTACCCATCCAATGGTGCCATCACCACCGGCGACAAGTATACGACAAGGCCGCGGACTTGCTTTTGCAGCCCATTGCATTGCATCTTGCGGGCCACGTCCTCCTAGCTCCATGACCTGCAACGGATGCAGATATCCTCTAAGCAATGCTACAACATCTGAACCGGTGTTGCTGCCAGATTTTGTATTTGCAATAACTATAAGCGGCTCCCAACCTTCAATGTTTGGGGGTTTAATCGCCGCTAAATGCAATCGCATTGATTCACGTGTGCGGGCTGCAACAATGCAGTATGGTGGAAAAATCATATCCCGAAATTCACCCAAATCACATTCAGCACGAGAATCTATACTCTTGTAACAATTATTATGATAGCAGCGATGGCACCATGCACAGCGCCAACCAAAAAGTCCCGCAGTGGCATGATAATCGATTTCATGTTCACAAACCGCGCATATTCCTCCCACTGGCAAATTACCACGCACCCATAAATGACGCAAGGATTTTTCGTGACGCAGCCATTTATCCTTACATCGAAAATTGTTATCAATTTTTTTCGTACACTCGTTAGTAGAATGTGTACATATTCCACAGCAATTACAGAAGACACCTTCCGAAGGAGTCAAGAGAATTTCACAAGCATTGCAATAACATACCTGTTAAATTAAGGAGTGAAAATATTAATATTGCTTAGATAGAATGATTTAATGAGATGAAAAAATTGAACCTTTTCCAATATTCTGATAGACTTCCAGCTGTGTTTAGTCTTCCCAGGAATACATATTACATCCTCCACCAGCAAACTCCGACATAAAGCAAATAATGCACATAATGCCAATAGTGATCCAATTAGTGCTTCGGAGCTCAATTCGAAATTGGCTAGTTCTATATTCATATTTTAGGTTTATCTTTAATATCGTTTGTTGACTTTTTATAAGCTGAGGAACAGTTTAACATCTTTTTTCTTTTCAATTAAATTTGGATATCCATTTTAGGTATATTTCACATGATTCCTATTGTTAATGTTTTTTTTGATAAAATATCTTATAAATTCCTTTCTGCAAACAAACATATATGTATGTATATACGAATACGACCCACTGATAGAAATCAATAGTAGCGCAAATTGGCGTAAAATGCTTACTGTTATTCGTTAATAAAAAAATAAAAAAAAAAAAAATAAAAAACACTTCTTTGGTTGTTTCATATATTCACAATAGATCCAACAGCTGTTTTTTGATTTTGGCACTCAGCGAAAACTCTCTTGATTAAGCTCTCCGTATCCACGTGTTGTTCTTCGCTAAGGAAATCCATATCGTTCTTTACCACGCTTAGTAAATTTTAAACAGAGTGTATTTTATACTTGGATTTTAAGTTGCATTAGGTTAAATATATAGTTTTCAGTAATATAATGGGACGAAAGGCAGAATTTAGTGAGAAACCAAGAAAAGGACCCGGCCGAAAAGCCCGAAAGCAAAAACCGCCAACATTCCCCAAGAAGTCCTTTGGTAATATAAAAATATTTGGTTTTAAAATAGACAAATTAACTTTTCGTCACTATAGCCCCTTTAGATAACAGTGACGATAAAAAATTGTCACATCGTCAAAAACAACGCTTGATTAAGCGAGACCAAAAGAAGAAAATTCAAAATGCTAAGGACAAAAAGTTTAAATTATTTCCGGATGAAAATAAAGAAGCGGAACGCAATTTACAAAATCACACTTTACTCAAGAATAGTGAGAAACGAAAATCTATAGGATTTTCTGATGAGAATAAGCAATGGCTGAAGCCTAAATCTACAAAAAATAAAACGCAGGGGAAGAAAGATGATCTAGAACTCGAGGTCGAAAGTAATGAAGAAGGCAGTGATTCTGATGACCAAGACCAAGAAAGTGAAACGGATGAGCAAGAATCAGGTGAACTGAGCAATGGAAATGAAATTCTCAAGGTTGGAAGTCTAGCGGATATATCTGATGATGAAAACGAAGACGCTAATTCAAATGATGATTTTGATGTATCTGATGAAGAAAGTGACGATACCGCTAGCAATAATGACGTCGACGAGGATGATGATGTTGATTCTGACAGTCTTTTGCCAATAGAACGAGAAAATAAAAAACTAAAAAGGCGTGAAGCGAAAGAAGCTGATTTAGCTGCGAAAGAAATGCAAATGTCAATTGATCACCAGGAAATCTTTAGCTTTCCGGATAACGATAGCGAAGAAAATAAGGAAATAACACTTCAAGAAATACAACAACGTATTAAAGATATAACTCTTGTATTATCTGATTTCAAAAAATATCGTCAAGAAAATCATTCGCGTACGGAATATTTGGATTTATTGCGGCACGACCTTTGCATATATTACAGCTATAACGATTTTTTAATGGGAAAATTAATGGACATGTTTCCATTAACTGAATTAATGGAGTACCTGGAAGCATCAGAGGTGAGTGTTTATCGTATCTGTCCTCTTGTTGCTAAAATTAAATTTAATCGTATGTATAGGTCCCCCGTCCTCTTACGATTCGCACAAATTCATTAAAAACCCGTCGACGTGATTTGGCTGCAGCATTAATTAACAGAGGTGTTAATTTAGATCCTTTGGGTAAATGGACCAAAGTCGGTTTAGTTGTTTATAGTTCACAAGTTCCGCTTGGTGCAACTCCAGAATACTTGGCTGGACACTATATGATTCAAGGAGCTTCCTCATTGTTGCCAGTCATGGCTTTGGCCCCACAGGAAAACGAACGCGTTCTCGATATGTGCTCAGCTCCTGGTGGTAAAGGCTCTCATATTGCTTCTATTATGAAAAATACTGGTGTACTCTTCGCGAATGATGCCAATCGGGAGAGGATCAAAGCTGTAGTAGCAAATTTTCATCGGTTAGGCGTTATCAACGCTATTATAAGCTGTGAAGATGGTTGTAAATTCCGAAACGTAATGACTGGCTTTGACCGTATTCTATTAGATGCTCCATGCACAGGCACTGGTGTTGTTGCAAAAGATCCAAGTGTGAAATCAACAAAAAATGAGGTGGATGTCCAACGTTGTTACAACCTACAACGCAAGTTACTATTAACCGCCATTGATTGTGTGGATGCTAAATCCAAAACAGGTGGTTATATTGTATACTCAACGTGTTCGGTACTTCCTGAAGAAAATGAATGGGTAATTGATTATGCACTTAAAAAACGAAATGTTAAACTTGTTCCAACTGGCTTAGACTTTGGCGTGGAGGGTTTTACCAAATATCGTCAATATCGTTTTCATCCCAGCCTAAATTTGACCCGCCGATATTACCCTCATACTCATAACATGGATGGTTTTTATGTTGCGAAATTGAAAAAATTTTCGAACACTATTCCCATGACAAAGGAGCAGCAAGAAGCAGATGAAAAAGAATTGGATGAAGCGATTACAAATGCTGAGTCGGTGGTTAATAAAAACACCGATCCTATGGAAAAATCAGTTCACGAAGAAAATGAACTACGAAGACCACTTGGCAAGCATGCTGGAAAACCCAATCTTTCTGAAGTTGAAATAGACTTAAAAAAGAGAAAACTAGTTGAAAGCAAAACTAAATATATTGCTAATGAATTTGAGAAACCATTAAAAGTCCAAAAAAAGCATAAAGTTGATCACAAAACGGTTAGTCTAACTCCTTCAAAAAAATCGAAGAACACAGAATTAAAAGTCAATAAAAGCGATATTCCGCAAAACGGTCGAGAAGAAGAACAGCAAGCAAAGAATCTTAAAGTACCTAAAACAAAAAAAATGGTAGAAAATCTTTCAAACGTCTTGGAGGGAAAGCCACAGAGGAAGGAAAATAAAATAAAAATGAAATCTAAAACAATCGGTCAACTTAAAAAAGATAAAAAAAAGATCAAAAACTGATGTCAATTTAATTTAAATTTAGTTACTTAAGTCAGAAAGCAGATATATATTTCATCGTATTGAAATAAATGTATATTAATAACTAAGTGTCTTAATATGAACGTGTATTTTATTTTGATTGGAAAAAATATTAAAAATATTTTACGTATCTGCTCCCAATTAATATAATGATTTTTAGCATTTTGCACAGAAATTAATTCAAACTATAAATATCAATGAGTTAAACTCGGTTAACTCAATGTTAGAAGCAGATAATAAATACGAAAAGTATCTGATATACGAAAATATTTTGTGGGTACCTTTTTAAATTTTTGAAAATCCATGATGGTAACATTTAAAAAAAATCTTCTATTACGATTGTATTTAAAAACTATTTGAAAAATTTGTTAGCACATCAACTCAGAGAATGTATTTACGTTCTCTGATCAACTTTAATAGTGATGCACTGATTGTTTCTTGTTGCGCATCGATAACTTTTTTGGATAATATTAAACGCGAATCGGAAGTCAACCTAATTGACAGTTTCATTTGTATTTATTGCACTCATTTTCGTAAATTGTTATTTGTTTTCCAAATCTTTCACTGTAAATACGGAACTAACTAGACCTTATGTAAATAAATATTTTACTAATATCACTTCACAACGAGTTCTCTATTTAACTTACTGTTCACAATGTGCTCTTTGTTCTTATATACAGAAGAGGACGTACAACAACGAAAAAGAGCAGCGCCAGGACCAGTTTTATTGGAAAATAGTGAAGTGTTAAGAGTTAAAAAATAAGTCGCCATGTACAGTAAAGCGAAATGTTATTTATTATGAAACAAATAAAAGTTAATTAAGTTCCTCTCAATAAGTACAACAAATTGGGAATTTTTTTTAACATTCCAGTGATAGAACTCGAGATCATCGATTTGGAAAAATATCGTAGCATATTTAGTGAAAGTCGTTATTATACTATTAATCGATTACTAGTGTCGTGATATCATAACAATACAATTTAATCGATTTCTTGTTAAATTTCTTAAATTTGAACTAAAATAACGTATGGGAATTTATTTTCAAATTGTGCCAAAAAAAATAAAAATAGTCAGCCTATTACTTTAGATGATATGTCTTAAGTGTCGCTTTTAAATATTCGAAAGGTCTGCCAATACATGACATTTTCAGCTATGTTGGTATGTATGTGTCATATAGCTCGCTACAATTGATATGAAGATCTCACTAAAATCTCAAACAGAGAATGTATAATATCAAATGGGATCAAAGAACAACACATGCATGCACACATACATATTAAAAAATTATACACAAAGTTTTAAGTTAATATAAACATATGTTTTATCATTCTTTTGTTCACTGTACAAAGAAATATACTTACGTACATATTTATATCAAATGTCTACTTTCTGATCATTAAGTCTACAGCCATGTTAGCGAAAGGTGGTTTGAGCGCAGAAAACACGGGTAATACTGGCGGAAATGCTGACGAATCTTCCTCCCAATATGCAGTAAAGAAACCCTTTGGGGATTCAAAGGACGTAGCTCGTTATGATCATTATCGTGTATATAGTGTTATGCTGGATACAAATCAACACGTTAATCTCTTCCAAAAGTTGGAGGAACAAAGCGATAGTTTGACTTTTATGGGTCATGCCAGAGAGGTTGGGCAGAGGTTGACTGTTCTGGTGGCTGCGCATAAAGTGGCAGATTTCGGAATCTTGTTGGAGATATACGGCGTGCAACATCGTATTTTGGTAACTTTCAGAGAAACTTACTTACTATACATACATACAACCAAATATATATATTTTATATTAATTTACATACATACATATTTATGTAGCTTACATACATGTACATCTACATATATTTGATAAGCCTTGTGTACACAGCTATTTGAACATTTGATCTTGATTATTTCAGGCACTTAATTTCCAGGAGAAAATCGATCGTAATATGAAAGAAGTTATACCCGCTGACGCGGCTGGCGCATCACTTGATTGGAAGCACTTCTTTCATTTGGAAACTATTTATGACTGGTTAGAGCATATGGTAGCACAATATCCCACATGCCTATCAATAGTAGAGATGGGTAACAGTACCCATGGCGTTCCTATTAAGGGTTTGAAGTTGTCGCGTAAATCCACTAATAAAACTATCTTTATAGAAAGTGGTATCCATGCGCGTGAGTGGATTGCACCCGCTGCTGCAACTTATCTAATTAATGAGTTGCTCACAGCTAAACATGATGCAATTCAGAAATTGGCAAACGATTTTAACTGGATTGTGTTTCCGTGTGTCAATCCAGATGGCTACAAATATACATTTGAACATGATCGCATGTGGCGTAAGAATCGTCAACTGTTTGGAACGTGTCATGGAGTTGATTTAAATCGTAATTATCCGGATCATTGGAACACCACTGGGGCTAGTAGTGACCCTAGCCGCTATGACTATGCTGGACCTAGTGCAGCAAGTGAAATTGAAACCATGCGTTTGATGGACTTTCTTAAAGCAAACGTGGAAAATGAACAAATTAGAACTTATATAGCTTTACATTCGTATTCGCAAATGATTATGTTTCCTTATGGCTATACAAAAGAGCACGTACCAAATTATAATGATTTACAAGAATTAGGAAGCAATGCAGCTAATCGTATACAAGAAATTAGTGGTCGTAAATACGTCAGTGGAAGTTTAATTGAAACCATTTATCCATCTAGCGGTGGAAGTATGGATTGGGCTTATAGCAATATGAAAGTGCCAATTGCGTATACCTTCGAGTTGCGTGGTCCGTCTGACAGTTCGGATATGTTTATACTACCAGCTAATGAAATTGAGCCCACTGCTCATGAGACATTCGAAGCCATCCGTACAATAGTGGAAGGAGCTAACGAAAAAGGTTACTACAAATGATTGAAGCTCAAGAGTTATTCTGCATTTTATAATTATAATTTACAAATTTACTTATTAAAAACGTTTCACGCGTAGAATAAATTAGTATCTCATTCAAATAATTATTTACTGTTTCCCAGCAAGGTAATTGGTTACTAGTGATTTCGTCATCAATGAACGTCCTTCGACTTAAAACTCCTCTATATAGCTAACATTTCGTAACAGTCACTAATAAATCACTGAGACTTATATTTTATCCATGGCAATATCTTCGTTATACTGTGCATACAAGAATTAAGTTTGTTTAAGCGATATCACACCCTCACACCTAAGCAACATTTTTTTAGAGATTTGGATTAACTATAGATGTGTGTCTGTAACAAAATATTTGAAGATAGACAAACCTGAAAATTCATACTGCTAGGGAGATACTACGCTATCGCCTACTCTTTTAATCTTAGCTAAATTGGTATACCAATAAAAATAAAAAAGCTCTAAACGTATAAAGAAAAAAGATATACATATTTCTAGGTATAAAGGTATATTATCTTTAATATAATATATGCACTTATACACACACATTCGTTATTTTCCATTTGCAATTTATCTTAAAATATCAGCTGAGTTTGAAAGCACAAGTTATATGGTTACGAGGTGACAGACGAGGATCAAATGCTGCGTTTATATTCACCTGGCATCCTGAATGTATAAAAATACCAATTTAATTTTTATATATGTACATATGTATATACAAGCATACATATAAATGTATGCATCTTAAATATACTACCATTTTCGCGAAGAAAAAGGAAGCGGTCATATAGCACAATGCTCTCTATAAGTGGGGCAAACATCAGTCGTAGTGTATAAAAAATAACTATACGTCGCCATTGGAGCAATTCTTTTTTCGTAGTTAGACTTTGCAATTCAGATTTCTGTAAATTTGAGACTTCCATGCCTTGAGTTGCTTTGTAAAAGTACCTACACATTTTTTTGGTGCACAAAGATATAGATAAAAATACAGATATACATGATTAAATGATATCCTTTTTGACAATTTTAAATATTGTTAATAAGAGTTTTTCTACACTTCATCAAAGACGTGCAAAATACTTACTCTTCAAAACTCATGCCAGGAACATGTTTTACACTGCGCAGTCCGCAATGTTTTAAGTTGGGCCTATGTTTGATGATTATACGTTCAGCAGCTGCACGAAAAGAATGCACTTTGAGATATTCATAATCCCCCTTTGATAAACGGTCGCAATACATTTCCATAGCATGACAAGATATCTCAAGCGCTTCATAACTCAAAAAAGACAATTTGGGCTTCTTCAACAAATATTGGCTGAGTGGATAACCCTGAAACTCAATATTTGATTGTTTGTTTGCAGTGGTTAATTTCATGTAACAACAGCTAGCGAAATTGAGAAAACGCGCCTGAGGAATTTTTATGAACATTCGCATAAGCATCACAGCTAAATTACCACACGGATGCAAGCCAATTATCCCAAATTTAAAATTATTATCTGTTATTTGTAGTGATTCAGTTATAACATTTAGAAATTGATGCGGTTCCACATCTGGTGTCATACAAAGTGTTAAGTGTTTTGGTTGTCGAAAGAATGTATGCATATTCGGTGGTAAATGCTTTTTAGCCATTACTTCCAACTTTGTATTCATGGTATGTGCTTGTGCGTTTAAGTCAGATTGCATTTCAAAGCAAAAAACTTGTGTGCCGTACCCATATCCGAGTACTCGCGCAAGATGACCTAGTCCCGCACCAAAATCCACAATGAAGTCAACAGGCGATTGTTGACAACTATACTTGCAAATTGATGACATAATTTTAATCTCGTGTCGTTTCTTAGGCTTAACACCTTTATTAAAGATGTTTTTAAGCTTGATATGGCTTAGTATAGGGCTGTGCAATTCTATCTGAGGATTATTATATTTATTAGGAATAGAATATTATAATATTTGTTAATATTACCAGTTCAGATATATTTCCATGTTGTTTTCTTGGCACACACAGCTCTGCTAGTAACCTACGTAAAGCTAACAATGACAACGGCCATACATTACAGTCCTTTTGTTCACCACAATTTTGCAAATTTAAAAGAGAACTGAGCTCCTCAGGACGTATGTTTTCCAAATGTAACTGCCAACTTTTTGGTAGTTTTTCCCAATGATTTTCTATATAGAAATCCTAAAGAAAATTGCCTTCAATAAATATTATCATAAATTAATTTTACTTACCAACATATAAGAATTAATTAACCAATCATAATGGCGTACTATTTGTAAGCAATTGTACAATTTGTCTAGAGGGCACTTCGTTACGTTATCCATCCCAAAGCTTTTCCTATGCAACAAGCCACAGACAGTTCAAACAGACCAGATACTACAATATGTACAAAGGAACTTATATCTTTGCTAAGAGTTCATTTCATATGTTTACACGATATATTTAAAGCATCACTCAAACAGACGCGGTACTACCGATTTACGATGCAAGACTAATACAATTAACAGCGGTTGATGGGAGCACTCAAGTAGACGCGGTATATTTCAATCTGCAGTAGGAATCCGACAATTTATTTTAAAATATCGACTATATTCTTCGTTGGTGCATTTCTTAACTTAAACTAAATAATACATATTTGAATGTCTTACCCCTAAAGTACCGTGACTGTTTATATGGTGCTTAAATCGCACCATTTAAGGCTAATTCACATACGAGTTTCGTCTCATTTGCAGAGAATCTTACTTTTTCTCGCATAGCAAACCGTTTGTTTGTCATTGGTGTTTTATGGCAGCTATTTTTTCATTTCACAGAATTTAGCGTCAAGTTTAAAGTATTAATTTGAATGGGGAATGAAATATTCAGCCCTATTCTGCAATAGAGCAGAAGTTTAGGAAATCCGATATTTGCAAGTAAATGTGTAAAATTGAAACAAAATTAAATAACAAAATTTATCGTGTGTTGTAGGTTTTTGACAATTTTCTTTTTTCTGGGTTTATGATAGAATTGTACGGGAATGAACTCAATATCAAAGAGCGTATATGAATTCATATACGTTCTTTGCTGAGCATGTTCTTTGATTGTACGATAACAATATTGTTCAGAAAACGTACGTTCTTTGGTATTTGCATTTTTTGGCTGTTGCGAGAAGAAGAGTGTTAGTAGAAAAAAAAACGCGAAAATTGCAAAACTAAAAAATCGATTAAGAAATTTTCTCAAAATTTTCATTCTTAATTTTGCTGTATTAAGTAAATAATAATAATTAATAGTAGTATAAATCTAGAGTTAAAACCATTTTCGTTTGATGCTAAATACTCTATAGCCATAAGTTGACGGCAAAAAATTGGCCGAACAAAGTGGAAGGCAAAGAAGAAAATATCATTAAAATGTCAACGAGTGCTGGTACCGGAACAGGAGCAGGCGTTGGTGCCGCTTTCGGTGATAGCGAGTGAGTTGCAGCTGACTGTCGACTGTCTGAGGAGGGTGGTCGAGTGTTGTTCGCAGCAAAAAGCCAATTATTTGTTTTATCAATTATACTAAAATTTCTTCCGACGATTTCTGAAATTTGCCTTACAGAAGCCGTCATGCGAGTTCTGGGCAACGCAGCCCTGAACGCTCATCTGGCGGTGGGGGTGCAACTGCTGCATCGAAGAAGAAATTGGGAACAGAGATAGGTAAAGCTGCTGCAGAAAAATCGCGTGGTCTCTTCTCTGCTGAGGATTGGCAGTGCAGCAAATGTGCGAATGTAAACTGGGCTCGACGGCAGACTTGCAACATGTGCAATGCACCTAAATTTAGTGATGTTGAAGAACGGACCGGTAAGTGTAAAATCTCACCTACATGCTCGTATAAGTAAACTTTTAACCTTTTGAATTAGTAAATTAAATAATTTTATTATTAAATATACTTAGGTTACGGTGGTGGCTACAATGACCGTGGTGTAGTAGAATACAAGGACCGTTCCGATTCAGACAGCGATTATGATGAGTATGGTCGACTAAAAAAGCGTAAAGTAAAAGATAATGAAAAATCCAATGATGACGAAAAAGAATATGATGATACAGATGAAGATGCGGTTGAAGAAGACGATGATGAGGAGGATGATGGTGGCGATCTTTCCAAATACGATTTGTGGGGTGATGATGAAATAACTCCAGTAACTCTTGTAACGCCAGGAGCAGGAGGACAAAATCCGAACACGAAATCCTTTGAGCAACAAAAGTCTCGATCCCGAAGTCGCTCACGTTCTCGTTCACGGCCGCAGTCACACTCTCGGAGCCGCTCACGATCTCATTCCGGGACCTCTTCATCTTCCAGCTCAAGTTCTTCTTCGTCGTCATGTACTTCTAGTTCTCGTACGCGTTCCAGCTCTGGTGCATCACGTTCGGGGAGCCGATCACGTAGATTACGACAACGTAGCACCTCCAAAGATAGGAAAAACTCGCGGTCAAATAGCCTTAAGTCCGCACCATCTGCTCGTAAACGTTCACGTGAACGTTCTAAAACACATTCACTGGCATCACGAACTTCCTCACATAAATCCGAAAAAGGTGGGCGAAATATTTCTAAGTCAAGATCACCTACGCGTTCATCCTCACGTTCTTCATCGACATCAGCCAAGCGTAAGAGGTGTTCCTCTCAATCGCCAGCTCGTTCTAAGCGTGGTCGCAATCGTACACGATCACGTAGCTTATCCAGGCAGCGTCGTTGAAATACTTACAATAAGCGAAAAAAAAAAAAAATTGCATGTAAGCACATGTCGAAACTAATATTTGGGTTTTCTAGTACATTTCGTTTAGATAATAGTCCGAATAAGATAAAGACATGAAGTAAATACTATGTTCATACCCATATTTGAAAACTATTAATCGTTGCTTAACACTCAATTATTATTTTTTTCTCAATTATATTGTATCAAACAGTTTTTCGTTTATAACAATTTTAATTTTTATCTACATCATAAATGGTAAAATCAAAGCAACTTAACTAATGTATTGTATTTTTTCACTATAATTTTAAAGGTATGGATCTTAAATTGTTTATGAATTGTTATTTATTTAAAGTTAAGGCGATTTCAATAAACACTTTTCTAGATTAGTTTATTATTTTAATACTATATTAAATAAGATATGATAAAATTATATCCAAGGTCTTATCCATGATATATAATAAATATATATATAATTGAAAAATACACGAATCTTCTAAGCAGAAACTTATTTTAAGTCTTAAACTCCCTAGCAGGCTTGAAGGATTGAACGAGATTATCCACTTCCAACTGTGGAAATTCGACTTTATTTTGTATAGGCTATTTGGTTGTACAGCTCTAACACCCTGTTTTAGCTGACTTCGAGTCTCGAAACATATGTTATAAATAACAGCTCTGTAACTGTACCTAACAAAGAGATGACAAACATATTTCTAGATATTAAATAAATTGTTACCCTTCGTGCATTTTGTTTATTACTTATCGCCAATAATATTCGATAAAATAAGGGACAAGAAAGTAAATGCTGGAGAAATAGACAGTAGAAGTTGCAACAAATTTTTAGACCGAACAAAACTTTAAACTACAGTATGTCATCTCGTGGGAGAGATGAGCACATTCCTCACCAACATTCAATGTCCTCTACGCCTGGGGTATCATCATCCAGTTCATCGCGAACACTTTCTCTGGTGGAAAAACAAAAGTATATCGAAGAATATGATTTCCCCTATTGCGATGAGTCGTCTAAATATGAAAAGGTAGCAAAAATCGGTCAGGGTACATTCGGGTAAGTCTTTTGAATTATTCAAGCGTGATTTTACATAGATTTTTGCTTTCTCTTTTTAAGCGAGGTTTTTAAAGCGCGTGAAAAAAAAGGTAATAAAAAATTTGTAGCCATGAAAAAGGTGCTAATGGATAACGAAAAAGAAGGCGTAAGCATTATTCTTCCCCAGTTTGTATTTCATGAAGTAATTTTTATTTTTTTTCATCTCTTTCTAATCATAGTTTCCAATTACTGCACTTCGTGAGATCCGTATTTTACAACTGTTAAAACACGAAAACGTTGTAAATCTTATAGAAATTTGCCGAACCAAAGCGACTGCCAGTAATGGCTATCGTTCAACATTTTACCTAGTTTTTGATTTCTGTGAGCACGATTTGGCTGGTTTATTGTCGAATATCAACGTAAAATTTAGCCTTGGCGAAATAAAGAAGGTTATGCAACAGTTATTAAACGGATTATATTATATTCACAGCAATAAGGTAATGAGACTCAAGTAACAAGGAAAATATGTTATGTTTTCAATATCACTTTGTTTTCATCCTTAGATTCTGCATCGAGACATGAAGGCAGCGAATGTACTTATTACTAAACATGGAGTGCTAAAACTAGCAGATTTTGGCCTTGCGCGCGCTTTTAGCATACCTAAGAATGATGTCAAAAATCGTTACACAAATCGAGTTGTTACATTATGGTATCGACCTCCCGAATTACTGCTTGGTGATCGGAACTACGGTCCACCAGTAGATATGTGGGGCGCTGGATGTATTATGGCTGAAATGTGGACACGTTCACCTATCATGCAAGGTAATACAGAACAACAACAACTTACTTTCATCTCTCAACTATGCGGTTCATTTACACCTGATGTTTGGGCTGGTGTGGAAGAACTGGAATTATATAAAAACGTAGATTTACCAAAGAATCAAAAGCGGCGTGTCAAGGAACGCTTACGTCCTTACGTAAAGGACCCTAACGGTTGTGATCTACTCGACAAACTTTTGACGTTGGATCCAAAAAAACGTATTGATGCGGATACTGCTCTTAACCATGACTTTTTTTGGACAGATCCGATGCCCAGTGATTTGAGTAAAATGCTTTCGCAGCATTCGCAAAGTATGTTCGAATATTTGGCACAGCCTCGAAGAAGTAATCAAATGAGAAATTATCACCAACAATTGGCGACAATGAATCAAAAACCTCAAGATAACAGTTTAATTGATAGAGTTTGGTAGTTATTACCTTATAGCGGCTTAATGTCGACCCTTAAAGAATGCAATGCAGGTATATATGGTTACAACCCGCTGACTGCCAAATATTATTGCATTCGTGTTTTCTAAATTTTTAAACAGACTCATATTTAGTATTAGGTTCACGTTTAACAATAGTTTTATACATTTAATTAAAAAGTAGGATGTTTTTTGAATTTAAGGCTGAAACCGCAGATTGTATGCGCAAATAAATTTTGTTATACAACCGTATACCAAATGTTTTTTTGTTTTTTATGTTTTCGTTATACTTAACAACTTTTAAATTATCTAAATGTTTTGGGCATTCAGCATACGTAATCAATAAGTAAATTAATATCGGAAATCGTTTTAAATAAAATTTTTGATTTATTATACGCATTTACACTTTCATTCTTTTACTAAATGAATGATATTATTCTTTGTCTTCTAATTGTAAATCACGTTGTGACGTCAAAAATTCCAGCTCCTTCTTAAAATCTGCAATTTGTTCTTCAGTTACAGTGATTGGTATATCCAAGTCGATTTGTTCCCTACGTACGAATTCCATCTTTTTTATTGCATCTTCTAAAAATGGTATTTTCTGTTTGTTTAATAAATTACGGTACTCGGCCAAGCGCTCTTCCTTGATCTTTTCGCAATGGGCATCAGTGAGTTTTTGTAATGATTCCTTTCTAGTAATCCAATGGAATTCCGCTGGGGGTGGCTTGTAAACTAAATCAAGCTTTTCCAACATCCACTCAAACCGACGGTAATCCCAACGCCTTAAATATTTTAAGAACTTCTTTCGCTTGTCTATTAATTCCTTCAGCGCAACCTTTAATTTTGTATTTCGAGGAAATTTGTCCAGTTGTTCTTGCATGATACGAATTCTAACTGTCATCTTTGCCACTAGGATATACAAAAATTCATATGTAAATATAACACGATTGCTAAACAGTCTTACATTTAACTTCCATAGAGCCGTAGTCCAGTGGATGCCTTTGAACATCTTTAATCATCTGTTCTCGCAAATAACGTGAAGTATCACCAAGACGATTATTGCCAAGTTGAAACAGTGATTGTACAGTGGAATCAGCGCTATAGAAAATACACATTAGTCCTTACAATTATATAAATTAGGCTAGGACTTACCGTTGAAGTTCTTTCGAATTGTTATAATCTAATAAGAACTCTTTTTCATTGACTGCTGGCAGTTTACCCAAATCTCCGCTTTTCTCTGGCTTAGTGCAGGGAATTTTTTCCGGTCGTACCCATTTGATTTTCAAATCTGATTTGAAGGCATAATCCCGTGTGAGCTGCCAATGAAGCGCATCAGCTCTTCGAAGGATTTTTCCAAAATTCATCCTGTTATTGAACGGGAAATCTGCATAAAATAATTGTTCTAAAACTAATGAAATAACGAGATGTCAATCTAAGATAGGTTATGTCACATCAGGGTTGCTATCATCATCATTTTCTGGGAATAAATAAATTTCTGATAATAGCACCGATGGAACCTGGGAAAATCAAAATAATGTAAAAAATTAATACACATTTTATTTAAATTCTATCACGATACTTATGCATAAGTAGGTGTGTTATTGACTTGGCTTTAAAATAACTTGATGACACAAAATACTACTATTTTCAGATGTAAGCAAAACAGCTGTTTGATACAATTCTATAACCAAAAAGTTATAGGTTAGTTTGTTGTTTCCAATTTTTACACAACGAGATAGTAATATATCCGAGAAGTGATATTGTGATTTCAAAAAAAAAAAGAAATGTCTAATAGCCATCTCTTCCTCAAATCTGGATTTCCTCGTGCACCCCTTCAAAATGGGTTGGGTCGGTACGTTTGTCAACTGCAGCGCGTAACATTAAAATTCTGTAAAAACCATGGAGCTAGCCGAGGCATGAGGTATGATGTTTTGCTTGTTATTTTATTAATGGAATATGTATATGTGTATTTAAATTCCATGTATTAAAGAGAATACATCGAAAACCATCTTGTGGACTTCGCAAAAGAGAATCCTGGTGTAGTCGTTTATGTGAAGCCTCGACGACATCGCGGGCCGGTTCTAGTTGGTGAATACTGTAAGTATTTCTGACGTAAGAAAGCTTTAATTAATCTTTCTTCTTTATTCAGTAAACGGTGACAGAGAATGGTTATATTGCCGCAATGCCTCTAAGGATGATATTTCCAAGTGGTTAGAGCTGTTAAAAACTCAGAACGGTTCTTCAAGTTCCTTACGTCTACGTAAAATGTGGCATACTGATCTACCTTCAATCCAAGGCCCTTGGACTCCTTTTACTCTTCGATCTCCAGAAGCGAATATGGTAACATATCCTAATCCAAGTGCTTCAAGGCCACTTGATGTGGAACAATCAGCAACTGAAAAGCTTGTTGAATTATTTAAAAAGCAGCGATTCGCAGATGAAGCCTTGGAAGAAAAACGTGCCGAATAATTTTAGTAAAAGCTATCAAAAGTAATTTAATAAACATTAAAATAAAATGAATTTATATCTAATATACATAAAATTTACATATATGGCGGCATTGTTCATGTTGTGCTGAATATGGGGGATTAGATTTACTTTTAGCATAATATTAGCAGCCCTCTTTGAGAGACTTTTTACATCACATCTCTGTGTTGTTTTAGCATCCCATAGTTAATGATGATAATCTTTATCACCACAGTAGCCGAGTGGTTAGCAGTTTGTGCTAATATGAGGGAAATGTGTTAATAGATCACCAAAATTGTAGAAAATTAATAAGTCCTTTGGTAGATGATATCAACCATCAATCAATTTTTAGGGACATATGTATCTACTTCCAGGTAGTGCTTTTAGCGGTTCCGTAATCACATGATATTTTGGAAAACATTCAATAGTCCCTCTTGGTTTGCTACAACCGACTTTTCTTTAAATATCATTCGGTCACATTATCGTTTGGTTAACTTTTGGAAGTCATACTCACCACGATATTTATTCGCTTTAATAAAGTAACGTTTTACGGACTGTTCAACATATATTAAATTTTTAATAAAATGTAATTTTTGAGTTACAATATATAATTAAGCATAAATATAAAATACAACTAATGTATACATGTACATATTTTGTGTCGAAAGTTGTAGATAACTAACCAGCAGTTTGGAATGACTACTTCTTTATTGCTACTAGGTTTTCATGGAAATTATAATGCTTGCAGAAATACATAATTTGAATAGTGTTAATTTATTAAGTACTTAGATATAAAATAAAATAATACATAAATTTTTAAAAATTTAAGTTACAGTAAACTGTGTATGTAAGTATTTTCATATTTGTATAAAATTTAATTAGCACAAGAAGCTTCAGTAGCTTATCATTTGAATGTATTCATGTAGTAATATAATTTTATAATTTACATATGTATGTATGTGCATACGCTTATTGTGTACACGTATACGGTACAATTATCGTGGGTATTTCAGTGGGTAAGTACGAGTACATTTTTTATTTAAGTTGAGTATATTATCCGAATATAATAAGTAGTATATTTGTGTGTATGCATATATCCAAATAAAGAATTGTAAACGATATGTTTGTTACGATTCTTAAACGAATGTTTTTAGGCTGCTTTCGGATATGGAAACATTATGAGTATTTGTGTGTGTGTGTGTGTTTTTTAAGTTTTACACATAATTTCCCATTGACTTAAAGGATGTGATGCATTGCTTTTACTTATGGAGCTACTTAATTATATTGCCAATGTACACATTTAATATCTGAAGATTAATTGTGCTTAAAAAAGAATTGCTACGTTCATTTTTTGCCATAAAGTACCAAATCTCTCTTTTCATTGAAACGATGGAAAGTTGAAACACTTTGATGGAATGTGGAAAGATCCCAATTTTCCTCATTTTTCGAAATTGACGCCTTCCTTTAATATTTAATAGCGATGTTTCATATATAAACTTCAAAAATTATTGTTAGCGACCTCTCTGTTATTCAACTATTTAGAGGCATTTGGTGTTATCAACATCACGAAAATTTTGAGCACTTGCGTTTAAAAATATTACATTACCGAAAAAATTTGTGAACCCTTCAGCTCATACAAATTTATTATTTTTAGACGAGATCAGTGCTCCATGGTCCATTTATTTTCTATTCAAATTACATAACTACGATAAGTACGATAGCCTTTTAGCATTTTAATTAACGCTAATAGCAGCAATTCTTTAACATACGCTCGTGAGGCATACAAGTTTGTTTCTTAAATATTTTCTCAGTTAAGTTTAGTTTGGTTAACTCATATTTAGTTATTTAGTATAGAAAATACAAAATTCATAGTTTACTTACATAGGTATGGAGTTGTGTGCATTAAAATCCATACATACATACATACTTATATAAATTACATTCATATGTTTAGTTAAATTTATTTTTGCTTTCTAATATTCGTTACTACGTTGAAAAAATCCCTAATGCTCAGACAATAATTGAGCTTTTGAAGAGTTTCTTGTTGCAGTTGCATAACTTGTACATATTTCGTGATATAAAAATATGGAAACAACTTACATACGTACATAGTATGTACGTCATTTAAAAAAATTTTATATCTTATTTGTTGATTTGCTTAATTTATTTGGTTCTTTGTCTTTTATTACGAATTGGTACATCCAGCCATGACAAACACAATACTTTACGGAAATCTGTAGCTGTAATAAGTAGCTTCCTATCTTATTTGTCTACAAAATACATAATAACAAAACAGTTGATACAACATACAGCAGTCAATAATCAAACAGGACGCCATATTAATATTGCGATTCTGCTGTTAACACGAAGAATATTTTCATTCAATTCATTTGGAGCTCCCGTATCCAAGGCATTTATTGTGTATAAAGAACGAAATTCAATATTCCGTAATTTGTTTAAGACTATAACTTTTAACACTTGGTCTATGAAATCTGGAATGACGTAGTACAAGGACAGTGCTTAGCTTTGGGTCCTTTGGACGAAAATATCTTAAGCGATTGTGGGTTGTAATTTGTAATTTTCTACTTTGTTTGAAGTAGTTTATTAGATAATAATTGCTAGCTCTTATTAAGAAAGAAAAAAAAAGGTCTTCTGTGTTTCATCAACGACACACTGTAATTGAAAAATTTCAAAGACAATCTTTCAATGAACGAAAATATTCTTCGTGTTTCACATATTCATCACTGAGTTTCATCTATCGCCTCACAACTTGTCGCACATTTTCAACACCTCAGCAGGTTAACCGTCTCTCAATGTGTCTTCAAATATTATTCTTTATTTATTTAATATCACCATAGAAAAATAATCGATCGAAAATTGTTTCTTTTTTTTTTTTTTGTTTAGCTTATAATAAAAATTATCGTCTTTGTTATCAATACAGTTATCCATAACGATGTTAACATTAGTGACAATGATCTCAGTATTATTATCAACATCTATCTTCAGGATCATCTATAAATAATATGCGATAATATCATATCTGTCTCATTTTGTTTTTTCATATACATATGTATGTTATTTAGCTATCCGTACATAATTATTAACAATTCTTACAATTTTAATGTGTTATTTGTAGCCATATTTAAAACAAGCGTAGTTGATAAAAGTGCCTTTTCATTTTCATTTTCTTTCTAATTTTATTTATTTTTACATTAATTTTTGGTTTCTTGTTCCATACTAACGACCTGACTTCCACTTGAATATATGCCATTTGCTCACACATCTTCGCACCTTTTCGAATTTAAAGTTTCTTGCAGTCCTTAGGACGAGACGTTGAGATGTATGAGTAAGCGTGTCGTGTAGAGTGAGCAAACTCATCGCGCAGCTACTTACATATCTCCCGTTTCCATGGCAGTATTTATGTCGCTGACGATCTTTCCCATCAATTCGCGATATTGTGAGTCGGGTTTGAAGGCGGCCTCTAATAGAGTGGTATCTCTGAAAAAATCGAACACTTCATCGATACGATTTAGCGACTTTTCGGTAAGATGTCGTTGAACAATTGACTTTAGGGCGGCATGTGATTCGGCAATGGATTTTTGCAGATACGGCAGATCGAAGCTGTAATCCACTTCATAGAAGGAAATCACCGAGAGTTGGGTATTCTACAAGGAGAGAGAGAGCACATAGTATTCAAAGAGGCAGTATGTCAACAAAATATACATATACAAACATGTGAAGTTTGTAATTAATGCGGCAAATGATTGACTTTGAAATACCAATAATCAACACTGGGTGCTCGAGTGTTTTGAATTTAAAAACCCATGTCAAGGGCAGATTTAGGACAAGGATTATTATCACTTTTTGTAAGCCACTATGTCCCTCGCAATTGGCGCGATGTACTCAGTACTTCAGGTCATTCAGACGGCCGCTATTCTAAGTTACCTAAACGTAGTTCCAAAACTAGATCTTTTCTCAAATTTGTTCATAATATATTTTTTAATGTGCATTCAAATATCTAATGTGGGTGTGTCAGTTGATATGTGAGGCCAACCGCTTTGTACAATATTACCATATGACTCAGGCACGATGATAAGAATTTTTTTCACATTATAAGTGATAGCAAAGGGAAGGGAACAACATTTTATGTATTTTCATTGCATTTAAAATTAATAACAAATAAATATGGGTATGTGATGCAAAAGTGTATGAGGTAAAAAAACAATAAAACATCAAAAAATAAATTTTATAGAGCAACGATGTACGCGACTAATAATTTTGGGTAGTGAATACTTTTGCAGATAACAAAGAAACTAAAACAGCACCTCAAACCCATTTAAGTATTTAATATATTGAGAATAATCTCCAAAATTATATCAAAGTTAGCCGGACTCTTGAAATGGCCCAATATGATGACGCTGTAGGGTTCCATCACCTTCTTAAATGCGCGACCATTTATGCTGCCTATTGGGCGATCCTTCCGAGTATATTTCTGACATGAAATAAAGCTCCTCATAAGAACCCGTCAGCCGTTAGGAGGCGGCTTAGTATAAACTGTAGGTCTCTCCATTTGTTGGGAAAACATCAAGACGCGAAACCACAAATTGGAGTAGGAGCTCGGCCGAAAATCACTTCAGCGGGTGCAAAGTGCTAATTATATATTGGGCGTTAGAACATCTGTAGCCTCTTTGGATGGGGCTTGCCCACCTGTTTCCTTTCCACTGCTGAGTTTCACCCATTTGTGAACTTTAATAGTGTTTTATAGGGATCTCACAGCCCTCCGACTTCTGCGATAGCCTCTCGACATAATATTCTTTCAACTCTTAGGACCGCCCATGTCGCATACTACCGTTGTGTGCGGGTATAGTGGTTTTCAGTTATAAAACGTGTATATATAAATTATATTTAATATAAATTAGATGTATTTACCCAGTAGTGACTGAATAACTAAATACAAAAAATGTGTCACGTGGAGTTTTTGTGTAACAAACACAATAGCACTTGAATGAGTAATGATCGTACATGCGGATTGATTACACTTACTTGGAATTTTCGCTTAAATACTTCCGCATCCTTCAGTTCCTCGGCACTAAATTGATTATTTCGATGTAGAACACCAATTTTGATAACAATTTTTATTATATTTTTTATCAGCTTTTCCGCTTTAACTTTGTTGCCAGTCTGTATAGTGATACATATGAATATACGTATTATATGTATGTAAATAAATAAATAAATATACAATTGATAGTGAAGAGAATGATATGAATCGAAATACTTATAAATAAATAAATCTTTTTCACTTTATGCCAAGCTACATTCCATGTAACAGTAATAATTAAACGCTAATAGTTGACAAGAAAACTAAGGAGCGCGCACTTACATGCATTTTACAAAGGCGATATAAGTTATCAAGAAGCGATGCGGTTGTACCATCAATAAATGTTTTCGCTATATTCTTGGTGGCCATGCGCGAGAGGATCTTCTTCTGGGCACGCAAGCCAATGTCACGCGACTTGAAAGCGCCGTCGGCCATAACTTAATAAATTAAATAAGAGAAACAAGAAATTAAATAATAAATAAAACCATAATAATAAAATTGCATTGTTTATGTTTTTGCATTCAACACGTGTAAGGGATTATAAAACGAAAGCCAAGGGTAAAAACTTATCAAAAACATAATAATACAAATGATGCACTTTCAATGAATATATTATATGGTAAAATCTAATGATAAATAGATATAAGCATTTAATGAATTTTAATAAAAGGCCACTGCCCCTCCGCATCACATTTGCATGAAAATATTAATTCTTTCGATAACTAACTGTAACTGTAAGTAGTCCAGCTATGAAAAGGCGAAATGAAGGCGTTGGTTGGTAAAACAAAACAAAAGTTAAAGAATTCATTTATGCATCAAAAGAACATACTATAACAACTAGCAAATTCATTATAAAACGATAATAGTGCAAAGCAATATAATGGAAAGCGCATTGACATACATACAAACAAAAAGATTGCTGACGTGAAGGTATAAAATATTAAAATTGAAAAATATCAAAATAACCAAATGCTTTATATCGTATTGATTGAACTGGTGGATGTTGCTTGTTTAGTTGAAGAGTTGAGTGCTTTCTTGCTTATATGTATACCTTCTAAGTTCCAATAATCGACGCTCCATAGCAGCAGACACTGACGTAAACCCTCCGCTGCCATTTCGCTTTCGAATCCTGACATCATAGTTTTGTTGAGTTTGTATGCAGTTTTAAATAGGACAAGAGAAAAATCGAAAATACAAGTGATTTCCATTTTTATTAGTGTGCTCGAATGATACAGTATACGATATGGTGACAGCGCACGCAAATAATATTTGGTGCGTAACAAAAATTATTGGCGGTACAAATTAATTCGGTCCGGTCTAAAAAGATGTCTGCACCTGCGATTACCTATTTCATTGGAAGGGCTTCCCCATCTGTCAACAATGAAAAGTTATGATTTTAGGGTCCACGAAGAGGGTGGTCGCCGGTGCGGGCTTTTTAAAGAAATCGTTAGAGAAGACTAGATTTTTAGAAATTGTATTCGAAAAGTCCGACGCACAATATTTTGAATGATCTAATTCTTATACTGTTTTTGACCTTACAGTTGGATAATGTAAAAAATACCTTCCGCGTAACAGATGCATCAGAAACGACATTTTGAGTTATAGCTCATTTAAGTAACAGCGAAGAATTAGTTCCCTCTATAAAACTACTTAAAACTGATCTCAATTGTTGGGGGCTTATAGGCAACAAAGTCCCGTTATATAAAGATTTTCCAAAAAGAGGTGTTATTTTGATATTCGAAGAAACTTGTTCCTTAAAGGATTAATGGTCTCGTTGGTTGTGTGGTACGTAGCGCCGTCTTGTTGAAAGCAACGTTGTCCAGATCAATACTATACAATTTTGGCCATAAAAAATCATTAGTCATCTCTCGATAGGGCAATCCATTCCGCGTAACCGTAAAAGTAAAAAATGACACCTATGGACATGGCCTGTCCATAAACCGTACAAGAATAAATCCGACCTCCAGATGCGACAGTTTTGCATATTGGCACAGCCATCGAAGTAGAAATGGGCCAGATCAGTCGAGATGATTTTTGGATGGAATTGTTTATATGGATTTTTAATAATTTCAATGCATTGTTGAAGTATGGATCGTTCCATTTTTATCAATGACGTAGTTTTTACTTGCCAAATGTCAAATAAATAAAAATTCAAATGTAACATCTACCGGAATATCAGGCCATTCAAAAATCCTTTATTAAATCAACATTTCGGGCTAAAAAAATTGTAAAAATTATTGTGTTTTTTTTCAATACGATCCGGCTTTTATGGAATCAGTCTCATTACTTTATTGTCATACCTCGCATTTATGTACATACATATGTATCATAAGCTTTTGCCTATTACATAATTATTTACTCATATGTAGATACTATATACTTAGCACTGTTAAGCGTACATAAGTATGTATGTATTTTTCAAATTCAATAGCGTGCGAATGAAGCATTAACACTCGAACTAGCGCACGTGCGCATGAATGTGCGTTTGATAGCGAAACCATTTCATGTTTATTGTTAGCTTTGAGGACCTTCTACAATAAAATAGTTCATTTGTTTTATACACATAAAGAAATGCTGACCCCATGCCGGTCTTAGTTGAAATTTGATGGTTCACTTTTAAATTCTATTACTTGGACTGACTTCAGCGCCAACTTACTTGTATGTACATGAATGAATATGCCCATTTGTAACGCAAAAAAAAGCCTTTGTAATTGTAAGTAAATTAAAATTAAAATTTAAGTAGAAAAGCTGAAGGACATTGAGAAGGTACCATAGACAATAACCGCTAGACAGGTAATCATGAGCTCTCTTCCAGTGGAAGGCGAGACCCGAGTAATATCGCCACAGTCGACTTAATTTCTACATATCCACTCTTGACCCCGACATCCCCAACATATAGCCTGAATGCAATGAGACCCTGGAAACACTCACGGACATAAATCTACGTTCCGCCTGAACTGTAAATGAAAACTCACAGTCGAATACGTACGACGGCGGCCGTAGACGGTACCGTGAGGTATCTGGAAAATTTAAATATTTTTCTGTAGAAACCACTGCCCTTCTGCTCTGCTCTTTTTTTTATCTACGAATGGCAAAATTGTGTGGATGTAAACAAACAGATTATACAAAATACACACACGCATATAAATATGTAATTAAACCAAAACTGCTGATTTCTACATTGGAGCTGCGTTGATAAGTGCCACGGGCTACCAACACGTCCGTGAGAGTTTCCAGTATTAAACTAGTCTCTCCTGCTACTAAGCGGAGTTGGAAAATAGCTACAACAGACATGACGGTATAATGACGACTGAAAAAACGTCCTCGGATTTATGGTAGGATGGAGATTCAGATTCCCACAAAGGAAAATTCGCGAAGTATAACCAAATCGGAGAACAATTCTTTAGTTCATTATCTTTCAAGAGATTCTAAAATGTACACATGTATGTATGTATTTACTGAGATTCCCTGCACCATGTAGCTATGTTACAAACGTAAGATTAAGCCAACTTCTAACTCGTCTCGCCAACAGGTGGTTTGGGGAATGCAGTTCTCATCTGAACAATTCTTTCAAAAAAACTGCCATAAAATCTCAACGGTTCAACATACAGAGTCTGCCGGCCTAAATAACATACATTTGTTTGTATCTCTCATTGTGTGCTGATGAAGATAGTTTAATTCAAAAACGCATGTACCCTTGCAGGCATACACAAAAGCAATAGACATATGTACGAGGTGTGTTCAAAAAGTATCGCGAATTTTGAATTTTCGCGGGTTACGTATAATCGAATTTTGATCTTTTGTGGCGTTATGTTGGTACTCATGTCTGTCACTTATGCCCACAAGCTCAGCCATTTTGAATGTTCACTTAATTGTTGACAGCTGCTTTGCTTGCACGTGTTTTGGATGGTCTTCGATTTTTACCTATTCAAAAAAATGGATCAAAGAACTTGTATCAAATTTTGTGTGAAAAACGAAATTATGTGCGCGGATGCATTCCGAATGCTGACTGTGGCATACGGAGAAGCTACCTTGGACCGTAGCAACGTTTATCGGTGGTACAAAATGTGCTCAGAAGGCCGAGAAGATGAGAACGACGAAGAGCGTGCCGGACGCCCGAGCACTTCAACAACAGACGAAAAAGATAATGACGTGGAGAAAATGGTATTGCCACAGGGTAGAACGGTCAATAAGGAATATTATCTGCAAGTTATGCGCGATTCGCGCGAAGCAATCCGCCAGAAACGCCCGGATTTGAGGAAGAACAAAAATTGGCTTTTACACCAAGATAACGCCCCTGCTCACACATCGTTGCTTGTGCGTGACTTTTTGGTCAAAAACTACACACTAATGATGCCGCAGCCACCGTATTCCCCAGATCTGGCCCCCTGTGACTTTTTCTTGTTCTCTAAACTGCCCATGAAAGGACGACGTTACGCTACGATTGACGAGATGAAGACGGCATCGAAGGAGGAGCTGAACAAGATAAAAAAATGAATTGATTGATTTTTGAAGTGCTTCGAAGATTGGAAAAACCGTTGGCACAAGTGTATAATATCTCATGGGGATTACTTTGAAGGGGACAAAATAGATGGTCATGAATAAATAAATAAATAAATTTCGCGATATTTTTCGAACACACATCGTATGTATGCATCTACATATACCTAGTGCTTATCTAAACTGACAACCTGATTGAAAACATCAGTTTTCCTTTGTGGTTCCTCCTCTCACTCAGCCAGTTTAAGTTTTTGTAAATATTGGGTTGCCCAAAAAGTAATTGCGGCTTTTTTAAAAGAAAGTAAATGCATTTTTAATAAAACTTAGAATGAACTTTAATCAAATATAAAATTGCCATTTTGTTCGATAACCTTTTGCCATCTTCCTGGCAAATTTAGTATTCCACGCTCATAGAACTTCTGGCCTTTATCTGCAAAAAACTGAACCAAGTGCGATTTTATAGCCACATCATTGCCGAAAGTTTTACCATTTAAGGAGTTCTGCAAAGATCGAAATAAATGGTAGTCTGATGGTGCAAGGTCAGGGCTATATGGTGGATGCATCAAAAGTTCCCAGCCAAGCTCACTCAGTTTTTGGCGAGTGACCAAAGATGTGTGCGGTCTAGCGTTGTCCTGGTGGAATATGACACCTTTACGATTGACCAATTCTGGTCGCTTCTCCTTGATGGCTGTATTCAATTTAACCAATTGTTGACAGTAAACATCCGAATTAATCGTTTGGTTCCTTGGAAGCAGCTCAAAATATACGACACCCTTCCAATCCCACCACACAGACAGCATAACCTTCTTTTGGTGGATATCAGCCTTTGAAGTGGTTTGAGCTGGTTCACCATGCTTGGACCATGCTCGTTTTCGACTAACGGTTTTGTAAACAGTCCATTTTTCATCTCCAGTTATGATTCGTTTTAAAAACGGATCGAATTCATTGGGTTTAAGGTGCATATCACAAGCGTTGATTCGGTAAATGAATTTCTTTTAATACATGTGGTACTCAAATATCAAGCTTTTTCACCAGTCCAGTTTGGTATATTTAACTTCTCCCCTATCTCACGCTCAGTTGCATGACGATCCAATTCGGTTAATGCTTTGATTTCATCACCATACACATCTCGTAACTTTTTAGCAACCTGCTCCGCGTTTTTTCCTTTACGGAAATAACAAAGTAAAATATGACGAAAATGCTCCTTTGTGAGCTCCATATTAAAATTGACGCCAAACAAACAAATGTAAACAAAATTTCGCGCACTTTTTTTCTAAAGCAAGCTAAAAGTAACAGCTGATAACTGACAGAAGAAAGAATGCAATTACAGAGTCACAAGCCGTTGAAAAAATTTGTCAATGCCGACTTTATGAAAAATCCGCAATGACTTTTTGGGCAACCCAATATATCAAATATATTTCGAGTTTATATGTCTGCCAATTGTTGTTCTTTCGCATGGGATACAGTTCATAAATATTTTTTTACTTTATAATTTTGTTTTTGCATTAATTTAGACAGCAGCGATAGCGGACAGCTAAAATTATGTGCGAGACTCCATAATGACTGCGAGAAAAATATATTTTGTATACGACAAAAGCAAATCGGCTCTAAATATAACTGGTTTAACTA